ATGACAAACCTACTCGTTTATGAAATGAATGGTTTAAAAAAGAATCAAATTCTTTAATTACGTTTTGTAAAAAATCGAATCACTGTCTAAGTGTGACTATAGCTCGGAATGGAACTAAGATTTTGCCCTTGGGGGGTCAAGCGCTATATAGAGAAATTCATGTCAATATTGAGAACTATTTGCATAGTGTATAAAACTATATCAATCAAAGAATATATTCAATATAGTCAAAAATTAATATAAGCTGAAATACTTGAAAAAAAAATTAACAAAAAGAATAGTTTTTTTAACAAATGTCCGTCACTCGTTTATCAAAGTGGTACTCAAAATTTGTGCTAAAATTTTTAGCAACTTCCTTTTCTACATATATAAAATCAAAAAGTCTTCAAGAAAATCATTTTCCATCTTATTGTAAAAACATTGAAAGCAACTAATAATTTCATGAAATTAAATTACTCCAAGGAAAAGAAAAAAACACCAGAAAAAAAAATAGTACCTACAATTAAACTTATCAAAGACGTCACCCTCTCAAATAAATAGTGAATCAAAAACACAATATAACTTTTGTTTAAATCAATCGTGGAAAGAACATATGAGGTATTTTTCTTCACTTGAAAAAAATATTAAAAACAGAAAAAAAATTCAAAAAATATTTGTGTCATTTTCGTGTTAAGTAATTTTCGGTCATGTTATTTTTGTGTTAGGTCACTTTCGATACGTGTCGGGTTCGTGTCAATAAAAAAAATATTTAGTTCCACAACAACTCATATAATTTTTCATTTTGGGGAGGGGGAGGGGGAGGGGGAGAGTATTCATAAAGAAAGGAATACCATTAGGCCAAATACCCTAAAAAAATATAAGAGTACTTACTGCTTTAGCATAGTTGATGTAGTATATTTTGTCTTCCTTGACCAGCTCAAAACATATACAGTATATGTATAGGATAAATTATGGAACTGAAGAAGTATTTTCTTGTGTTACATCCAAAGCTGATGCTTATTAAAGATTAGATTACGAGTTCCTAAATTGATCTATTTAATTCATAACTCGACCCCAAAAAGATTATAACTCTAATTTATCTGCACATTTAGATACAATGCCATTGCATAGCTCCGTACCTGACAAGTTCAAATCCATAATGAAAGTCCAATATTAGTGAGGCCTAGACGATACTCTAAAAATTGCAGCGATCTCAAAAGTTGATTTGAACAATAGCCTAACTCTCGTACAAAATAATTGTCAGAGAGAACAACGAGAGTTTTTGTAAAGCGAATGACTCCGGCTAACCTCGTGGGAGTGTGGGAGGACTCTTACAAATCTAATGTCTTTGAGGTCTTGTGGTGCAGGAATTAAAATTGGGTTTGCGGAATGTCAACATAATTACTTATTCCACTATTTCACAAAAAGAGAAAAACATACAATCCCAAAACAATATTTAAAAAAGTACTTTTTTGTTTAAGTGCTTTTGCAAAATAGTTATTAAAATATTTTTATTATTTGATAAAATTGTTTTTTTCAATGAAACAAAAGTAGTTAAAAAAAAAAAAAAAAGCTTTGCCAGACTGAATAAAACTTCAGTTCTTGTCTATTCTTTCCTCCTTTATTGGACAAAGTCCATCTTGTCAAAGGACTGCATCCATTTGAATCTAGTATGGTGTTCAATGGATCAAAACTACCTACGAAGGATAGAATTTTTCCTGATGAAATGAAAAACATATTGCTCAAGTTTTTGGGAAAGTCTATGGTACCGATAATTGGTACGGTGTCAAAAGTTATAATTTTTTGATGTGCAAATTAAAACGATTATAAAATTTACAACTTTGAAAAGTAAAATTAAATTTTTTAAAGTGAAATTACAACTGATTAAGAGATGTTTATGATCAATCGTAACATAAACATAAATTTACATATTATAAATGTGAATTTACAACTTATCAATAGATATTCATGATCGATCGTAACATGAACATCATTTGTTCGGTTATAATTTCACCTTCAAAATGTGTAATTTAACGTTAAAAAGGAATAGTTTTTTTGTGTACCACAGGACATTCGTACTACTACTTCAAAATGTTTTAGACATTGTTTGAGTTGGATAGTGATGGACCCTGGACCACACGACATTATTAGCACCTGATTAATTAGGATCCCAAAAGAAAAAAGAACATCACGCAAATTGCCCTGTCCTTGATGGTTTGAGAGGATGACTACGTTACTGTCCATTGGTTTGAGAGGACGAGGCATCTAATCAGAGCATAAATTCGACATTACGAAAGAGACTAGAAGTACCTCAATGCACTATTAACATTTGATTTTAGTCTTGGATGACCCGGTTAGAAAGACGGTGAGTAGTCACCGGTTCTCAACCATAAAATTATAGTTCGATTTATTTATTTATTTTTGTCTTCTTTCAATAAATTATCGACAGCTTCAATAAATTGTCGACATACTAGATTGCTATATCTAAAAATTTAAACTAAATCTTATACCTCAATTATTTGAGATCAACTATATGAGTCTATTTTTTTAATTCATTTTGATCATGTACTATACGCTCATTTAAGTTACATATTTTATATTTTTTTTTATTATTTTGTTCAATATTAATTTAGCTCTACCCCTACTTCTAGTATAATTAAGAGAGATTATCTCACTTTTTCGAACCGGTGCCTTTATCAACTTTCATAGAACATGACCAAACCATCTTAATCAATTTTTTTCTTAACTTATTCTCAATTGGAGTTACTCCTATAATTTCTCTAATATGGTTATTTTTTATTCTATAATTTCTAATTTTTTCACATATCTATCTTAGCATTTTCATTTTTGTTACACTCATTTTGTCACTATATTGTTTCCTAGTTGCCCAACATTCTGTCTTATATAACATTACTGTTCTTATAGCTGTTCGATAAAATTTATCTTTCAATTTTATTGGTATCTTCTTATCACATAATATGTCAGATGTTTTCCAGTACTTAAGCTAATCGGTATTGATTTCTTGATTTTCAATATTACCTTTTTCACTATGTCTATTTTTTTTATTACTAAAATTGCATTGCATATATTTAATCTTACTTCTACTTATTTTAAACCCTTTCGACTCCAGTGTATCTCTTTAAAATTTTAAATTATTGTTAATCTTCATTCGAATTTTACTTACTAATATAATATCATCTGTAAATAACATATACTGTGGGACATCATCTTGAATATATGCCTAGTGACTTCATCCACAATTAGGGCGAATATGTATGGACTAAGGGCCAATCCTTGGTATAATCCCACCGTGATTGAACCATACGAAAGACCTAATTATAGTCATAGTCTCGTCATACATGTCCTTTATTATCTCAATATACTTATTCGTCACTCTTTATCTCTCAAGCACACTCCATATTATATTTCTAGGTACTTTATCATACGCTTTTTCTAGATCTATAAATACCAAATAAAGATTTTTCTTCTTCCCTCTATACTTTTCTATGAGTGTCCTCAATAAATATATAGTCTCCATAGTTGATCTACTCGGCATAAATTCAAACTGATTTTTCGACACTGTAGTCTCAATTCTTCGACGCTTTTCAATGACCATTTTCCATAATTTCATTGCATGACTCATCAATTTTATACTTCTATAATTATTACAATTTTGAATATCTCATTTATTTTTATAGATAGGTACTAAAATATTATTTCTCAATTTATTAGGCATTTTCCCAGTAGCAATAATTCTATTGAATAATTTTGTTAACCACAACACTCCATTATTCTCTAAGCACTTCCAAACCTCAATTGGAATATCATCCGATCCTAAAGTCTTGCTTAATTTTATTTTCTTCAATGCAAACTCTATCTTCGAATTTTTTATTCTACAAAAGAAAGTTTCATGGATCCTCCCATTTTCTATCTCTTCTAGATTTCTTAAGTGATTTTTGTTTAATAGTTTCTCAATATAGTCTTTCCACCGATCATTTATTTTCTCATCTTTAACTAAAACCTTTGAGTCCTCGCCCTTGTTGCACTTAACTTGGTTAAAGTCTCTTATGAGAAACTATTTAGCATTAGCGCATAGATTATTGTTTGGACTCATCATAATGGATCCTCATCATAGTGGATCCAACACAATTTTACGCTGACTGTCGCCTACTTAATGCAAACCTCCTCCTTTATCCTAGCTTGGGATATGCAGTGTTGAATACAACACTGGCGGAGTATGCTACATTTAAAAATCTATAATATAAAATAAGACATGTTTCAATAAATTTATTCGACGGTTTCAAATAGAATCATCCAACAGTCACAAACATCCCTCTCAAAACTATTCACATTAAATTTTTCCCCCTTTAAATCTATCACTTATCACTTACATTGCATCGTGTTTTCAAGCATTGATTACCCCTAGTATACAAATATAAGATAACTAAAATCCTATGTGGCAAGAACTGATAAAGTGACTTGAGTTCTAATAACAAATTTTGGTATTTTTATCATTTTAAATTAAGTGGATCTGTTCTCTATTTTTAGTATCATATGGATTTAATCGTTTTGTAATTTATTTAAAAACTAGAAGTCGTTGGATTAAATTAGAGGTATTCAAATATTGCTTTTGAAATTTAATTTCTATAAATTAAGTCAAATACGACAAGATATAAATAGGTCGGTGTCAGAATGCCTAACACAATTAAATAAATAAATTGGATTAACGTTGATTAATACTTGACGCGAACTTAAAATAACATCCCAAAACAATTCCTCAGAGACTCAATTGCCACGTCTATGTTTATCCCGTTTCCCAAATTGAAAAGAATCATAAAATTCACATGTTATTGGTGCCTTAAGTTCCAATACCAGGAAGTGGAACTATAAATAGCCAACGAAAGCTCTATAGTCCATACCAGCAATTGGAAGGAAAAAATCATTCTTTTAACTTATAAATCCTTCGCAACTAGCAATTGTTCTTGTCATTCCCCTCTTCGTCGCCCCTCCACAGCCACAAAATGGCTATGTATGTTTCAGCCGCCACCCAAAATGCCGCCCCCAATGTTACCCGTCGGTCTGCAAATTACCATCCTAGCGTTTGGGGAGACCATTTTCTCAGATATGCTTTTGACACTACAGTATGAATTAGCTCGTAAACTCTTGTGTATTCTTCACTTGTTAACGGATTTGAATCATAATGCATTCATTATTATGAGTACTAATTGCTTGTGCAGCAAAGTGATACTCATTCAGAGCAACAACATCAACAACTGAAAGAAGAAGTGAAGAAGATGTTAGGGTCAGTTGATGATAAGCCATCACAGCAACTGAACTTGATTGATGCAATCCAACGTCTAGGTGTGTCTTATCATTTCGAGACTGAGATTGATGTAGCTCTACAACACATATACGATGCTTGTCATGATTGTGATGATAAAAACGGTGATGACCTATATACCACAACCCTTCGTTTTCGATTACTCAGGCGACAAGGATATAATGTTTCAAGTGGTAAGTCCCCATTTGATACTTTGTTCTTTCTTTCTTTTTTCAATGGTCATATGGTAGCTGCTTGGCTAAACTATCTGAATGTAGGCATCACATGATGGAATTTGGATTCACATACAAAGATTGTTTTTTTTTTTTATTTGTTTTATTTTTTTAAAGGGGTGCAACAACATACAAAGATTGTAACACGCCACTCTGAGTTTTAGTTTATAACCTTTTGGTTCAAATTGGAATTTTCCATATTCCACGGAAGGCATGTAATTTCAACATGCACCCATTAGCTACCCCTTTTGTTTCTTTTTGTTTTTATATTGATGAAGCACTTGCAAGCTTTTTTTTGGGTTGTGAAATAGGCCTGTTTGATTTTTTGAGGTCATATACAAATGTTTTTTTTGCACTTACAATGCTAGGAAATATTGATTTACTTATCTCCTGATGTATGTATAGCACTTGCATTTTTCTTTTTTATTCTCCTTCTACTTCTTCTACTTACATCCTAACAAGTTAGTAGTTCTTCGTCATTTGCCGGTGCTTCAACCCGCCATCATTTATGGACACCCATGTCTGCTCAAATATGCAATTGATGTATCCTTGTAATGGCTAATATTGTTTGATTGGTGTCAATTATCAAAGCAGATGTGTTCAAAAAATTTAAAATGACGAAGGAAAATTTAAGGAATCTCTGATCACCGACATTCAAGGATTGTTAAGCTTGTTCGAAGCAACACATCTCAGAGTCCATGGAGAAGATATATTAGACGAAGCACTAGCTTTTACTACCATGCATCTCAACTCCTGGTTACCCCACTTAAGTGATCCTCTGGCAGAACAAGTGAATCATGCACTACAACAGCCCATATACAAGGGCTTGACAAGGCTAGAGTCAAGGTTTTACATGTCAATTTATCAAGAAGACGATTCCCATAATCGAGTACTACTACACTTCGCAAAATTAGATTTTAACCTATTACAAAAAGTGCATCAGAGGGAGCTGAGTGTTATCACAAGGTACGATTATTAACTAAAGTCATACTTGTCATCTTTACACTAACAATTTATTAATGATATCTTGGTCTTGATAAGAGAGATATTCTTTTTTATGTCTACTTTAGGTGGTGGAAAGAGTTAGACTTTGCCAGAAAACTATCTTTTGCAAGGGACAGATTGGTGGAGTGTTACTTTTGGATACTTGGGGTGTACTTCGAGCCTAAATATTTCTTTGCAAGAAAGCTAATGACCAAAGTAATTGTCCTGGCCTCCACTGTGGATGACATATACGATGTATATGGGACCCTTGAAGAACTCGTGCTTTTTACTGATGCGATCGAAAGGTTCGATTCATCAAATTTAGGCACATATAAGATACCAAATTTCAAAGCATTCGTTTCAAGTTGTCTAGAGTTGTAATCTAAAGAGGATGTACATTGATTTAAACTTGTTCGACTTATAGGTGGGACATCAATGCATTAGAGCAATTACCAGAGTACATGAGACCATTTTATCGTGCACTTTTAGATGTTTACAATGAAATGGAGGAAGAGATGGCTAGGGAAGGCAGATCATACTGCATCCACTATGCTAAAGAAGCAGTATGCCCTCATACTTGTCATTTAGCACACACGTGGCAAAATAAAAACCCTTAATTCATGATTAATGGAAAAAGTCATGCCATTTTTTCAGATGAAGAAATTAATCAGAGCATACTTGGAAGAGGCCAAATGGTTTAATGAAGGCTATGCTCCAACAATGGAAGAGTATATGAAAGTCGCACTAGTTTCAAGCGGTTACATGATGCTTTCCACCACTTGCATTGTTGGCATGGGAGAACTAGCAACCAATGAGGCCTTTGATTGGGTGTCAAGTGAACCTCTAATTGTAAGAGCTTCATCAACAATTGCCAGACTCATGGACGATGTGGCGGGGCACGAGGTAAGAAAGAGAAGTTGGAATGTCTGTTTCAATCACCCTTTTAACTTTGTGAGTGTACTTCAATAGTTATACTTTACAGAGATTCTTGACATTCTATCTCATAATTCAACTTTACAATTCTACATTTGCAGATTGAGCAAGAGAGAGGAGACGCAGCGTCAGCTGTGGAATGTTACATGAAACAACATGGTGCCTCAAAACAAGTGGCTATGATGAGTTTGACAATCAAGTTACAAATGCATGGAAAGATATAAATCAAGAATGCCTCCATCCAACGGTTGTCCCGATGCCCCTTCTTTTGCGGATTTTCAATATGGCACGCATGATCGATGTTGTTTACAAAGGCGAAGATGGGTACACTAATTCCAAAACCAAATTAAAAAACTATATAATTTCGGTGCTCATCAATTCGGTGGCAATATGATATTGTATTGAGAATTTTCTCTTGTCATATGTATCCTGATTCTCCTGAATATTCAATCTCTATCCCTGTGAGCTAATAAAATATAAATGTAATTCCTCCTTTTTTTTTTGTTTTTTAGTATAGCGAAAATATATTTTTACAAGGAAAGACCTAGGTATATTTTTCCAATAAGTTGAAAGACCTAAACATTGCACCTATGCAGTCAGAGCAATATATCTAGAGAGAGATGCATAGAAGTCATAGATGCATGGAAGCATATTAATCAGGAGTAATGCCTATGCCCGACATCTATATGCTATTTCCGATGGAGAAAGGGTTGCTTGGATTGAGAGATTGACTCATTCTCAACCTAATCAAGTATAAATAATAATGTTGCGCTCACTTCTGCTTTGGGTGTTGATAATAAGTTGTCTCAGTTGTTGTTGGTAGTCCCTTAGAGAACCATTAGTTATTAGATTAAATAAGAGACTAAAATTATGAAAATATCAATGTTACTCTTCTAGATCTCACATATATTTGAACTCGCCTCCTAAACAAATTTTATGCGTGTCATACATAACTTATACTCCTTTCCAAACAAGCACAATCATTTATACCCCCCTCTCTCTCTCTCTCTCACACACACACACACACACGCGCGTGCAGAATCCAATTCATATGTGATCATGGAGAAGCCTCGAGTCTCACATATTATAGGAGGTGACAGTGTTTTCTCCATACAAAGTCGCCTCTTGGATCAATGGGGCGAAAGACTCCCACGTACGAAATCTTACAGTGGTCCTTCTATGAGGCGTAGGATCGCTAGTCGAGTAAGACAACTATTATTAAGTCGAGCTCGCTTTCGCTCATTCTAATCAAAGACGAAAAGTTAAGGTCAGAATTCGCATAGAGATGATAGACGCTTATCGTGGAGCTTGGTAATCTCTCTTAAAACCGTGTTTTGTCGTAAACTTAATTGGTTATTACCAATTACATAAATCAATAATTCAAATTGCACTTTAAAAGTAGGGTATTTTCCAATTTTATAGGAACTTCTGTACCAGAAACAATTGTACCTCCAATTATTGCCCCTCTGGGATGTACAACGATGAAAGAGGAAAAAGAGTAGGAGGAGTAGCTAATTTCGAATGATTACGAGATAGATTTGGATCTGTTTGCATGAGACAAAGCCAAGAGGGGAGAGCACTTAATAGCCTATGTGTTCCAAAAAAAAAAAACGTGCTACATCCGACCCCCTTTTCAATGGATGAGATTAGGATGAAAAATCTTTCTTGCATTAACATTTAGTGAAAGTGCATAGCTTCTGTAAATGTTCCGCTGATTGACTACTACATCTAGGGACATGACTGATCCCGAAAGAGAAGTCTTTTTGATTATGAAATTGATTAGATTGAAAAGTAAAAGAACAAATCTTTGGATCGAATCCAATTTCCCCCACTTTATCTGTTGATTCATGAACATGCCATAACGGAGGTCCCCTTGGAATTAATTCTGATTGAACAATGTGGGATCCAGATATTATACGATGATTGGAACTAGTAAAGAACAATGGAACTGATGAAATAAAAAAGGTGTGGCAAATTCAACAAGAATTAGTAGCTTTGAATTTAGTTTGAATTTAGTCTAAATGAAAAACGAGTGGGCCTCATTAGACTAGTCAAATAATAGATTGCCACGAACTGGCTAAACATAAAACAAACCCAACAAACACTACTTTATACGACCCAAATACAATGTAATATGTAAAACTCTAGCTAATACAATGGCTACAATTACAGCTGGCCATTTGGTAAGAGTTGGCTTGTAGACCACCCGTGTAACCCAAGTCAAAAGCCGGCTGGTCAAGTGATTTCTTGAAAGGGTCCTCTCTTGTGTCTCTTTTACTTTAATTGAATAGTGCGAGAATGAAAATGATGTAAGTTGGGTCGGTTGAATAGTGACGCCGGACAGAATCACTATTATTCTGCGGGCACATTTTTATAGATAATTCACAGAGAATCACTATTCTTATGCGGGCTAATTTTTATAGATAATTTACAGAGAAGAAGATAAGAGAATCGCCTAAAAATTAATTAAGCACTCACAATCTTTATAAAATTAGAATAATTATCAACGTGCCATCTGATAACTCAGTATCATTTGACTCGGATTCTCCTGCATCAAATAGCCATGCAACTAAACTTCATCTCTATAGGGGTGTCAAACGTGTCAGGTTAAACGGTTACGTGTCGAGTTAAATGGATGATGGATGAAAAATATATAAACTCGTACACGACACGTTTAATAAATGAATAAAAAATCTACATATGAACACGAATCGTTTAATAAACGGGTAATACGACATGACTCGTTTAACACGTCTAATTTTAAATCAGTCGGGTTTGGTAGGGTTAGGTTAACATGGTAAACCATCTGTTTGACCCATTTACTTGTTTATTTAAAAATGTTATACAACTTTATAAAACTAATAAACTATCACAAATAAATTTGATATTTAGAGATATCACACAATATTACAAAATACAAATTACAATCCAAAATAACCAAATTCCACCAACAACTATTTTACAATTCATAAATACAATCCAAAATAACACAATTACATCAAATAACAATCATATTACAAACCACAATATCAAATAACCACAAATTCCACAATTCACAAAATCACCAAATTCCATGATTTACAAAATCCCATGAAAGAGATCAAATCTCCACCTCTATGATAACGAGCAGATTCAACAATCAAATTCTCATACCTTACACAAATTAAAATAAATTAGTTCCTCCGTTCCTAAATATTTGTTGTTTTACATAATTTTTTTTGTTCCATAATATCTGTCGTTTTATGAAACCAAAGCATAATTAATATTTTTTCTTCTAAATTTACCCTTAACTTTTCAATGCATTAGATTAAATGGAGGTTAAGTGCCTTTCATATTCTTTTCCTTTCCAATACGTATTGAATAAGAGTATATTAGTCTTGTGCAATGATTTTTTACTCATATTAGAGCTATTTAATAGCTTCCTTAATCCCTATGAAAAAACCTTAAACGACAGATATTTAGAAACGGAAGAAATATTATATAACATTAATAATTAAATAGACACATAACTGGATGAGTAACAAAAACTTGGCATTACAAGCTACATATTTCAATACATCTCTTTAGTCATGATCAATAATAGATATAAAATTAGAATATTGAGCAAATTTAGCTTTATTAGACTTTATATTTTGATTGAAAACATCATCATCTATTTCTCCTTCCTAATCATCACTAGAATTATCTACAACTAAGTACAACAAAACATAAATGAATCAACGATCACATGAATTAGGATAATAAGAAAAATAATACTAATAAAAAATGCAATCAAACTTACTGCTCTTCTCATGAATCCAATTTCTAGTACAAATCAAAACTTGGACAATTTCTGACAAAAGTGAACTTCAATATTTATTCAAAACTCTACCACTGGTATTAAATACAGATTCAGATGCAACTGTAGAAATATGAATTGTCATCACATCACAAGCCAACCGAGACAGTATAGGATGCCGAAACTACTCTCTTTTCCAAAAGGTTAGGATATCCAAGTCATTCTTTCAATCAAGCCTTTTCTCATTTAAATACAACTGCAACTCAGTCACTCGAGAAAAAGGAGAATTTTTTTTTCACGTTTTTCAAAATTCTACATTTTGTACAAAATCATTACGAATATATAATAAACTACCTTGATCGCATTTAATTCAAACAAACTAAATTATATTTTACCTGAAAAATCCTTTCGGAATCATCAAGACCATGAGTCTCACCAACTTGTTTCTCACTACTTGAAATACCTGGAACAACATGTGACAAGTTGACAAAGTACAATTCAAAGAGCTCAAATAAATATCATGAACACACTTGAACTCATAGGAATAGAGTTAAACTGATATCACTCCCCAACACACACAACACACAAATTGATACATACCTACATACACACCCAACCCTGATCTTCTCTGTTTTTTCTCAGCAACCCAGAACACACAACACCATAATAGAATCCATAATAATTACAATTACAAATTATATGTAAAAATTTTGAAGTAACTCAATATAAATAGTATTACACAAGTATCAATTGACTAATACAATTGAAATTAGAAATGAGATTAAATTGGGTTGATATTGACGTTAAAGTATCAATTATCTGTCATATAGACATCATGAAAACAAAGAACTTCCCCCCAGATTCCAAGACTTCCTGACATCTGCAGATTGCCAAAGAATTCACAAGAACAAAAACCAGATTACGAAAAGTAGAGAAATGCTTATACTGTAATAAGAGAGAGGATTGCAGATAGAATGGAAATGTTATGAATCTGTAAGGTGTGTGTGGGGGAGAGAGAGAGAGAGAGAGAGAGAGAGAGAGAGAGAGAGAGAGGTTTGGTAATTTTGCAATCGATTCCACATTGGGGGAAGTCTTCCCACTTAATTTTGCAATCAAATCATGTACAAATAATAACCGAATCCCCAATCCCATAGATTCAAAACCTGATAAAAGATCGAATCCATAATAAATAAAAAATTAAAACATCACAAATCACACAAAAATAAAATAGTTTAACACAGATCTAAATACAAATAACAAAGAACACACAAAATAAAAAGATTTAAATTCACATAAAACCAAAAATCAACTAATCAAATAAGGACTAAGATCTGAAATGTCTAAAATTTAAAAGGATTTACCTGTTTTCACTTGTTTAAGATCTGAAATGTCTTGGCTCAAACTCTCTGTGGTTAGCGACTCAGCCTGGCCCAAAGATTTGAAATG